GAATATAGCTACTGTAGCAGATTGTGTCATAATGTTCCTTGTTCGGAGAAGCTTTCCTACATTAAAAAAAAAAAAGACAAATTGTGATTTCTCACTAGCCTTTGCCTTAGATAAGCAGTAGTAACAGCAGCAGCAGTTTCTTGTAAATTTCTTCCCTGCTCAACAGGGAGACTTTGCACCTGATGAGAAAAATAAATGACTGTTCCGTGCCATCCCTAAACTATCTCTTATTCCTTCTATATCTACATTTTTGGTGGAGTCCCCTTTGTACATTGTTTTAAGGAGTGAAAAATAAGCATAATGAGGTGCAATAAGGAAACTATTCCATCTTTCTGTGGAGCTGACACTGTGGCACCTTCTAAGAGCCTCCATACCCCGTCATCCTAAGTGGCCAGCTCCCAACCCTTTCTCTGTACAAACAGCACAGCTTATGCATGGACGCATCTCTATCTAGCTTAACTTTCTCTAACTCCTGCTCTAGGCTCTTGGTTGCATCGTTTACCTACTTTTAGACTATAGGAAAGAGAAGAATGAAGGAATGAAAGAAAAATGCCATGAGTATCCAAATCTGAAATGATAGTCAACATTTATATTTATAGAATATTTTCCAGCTCATCAAGTATTTTATTAAATAATTGCATTTGATCTTTCATGATCAAGAAAAAGATCCCTATCCCTGTTTTTACATATGTTTCTAAGTGGGTAAGTAACTTGTAAATAAGTAAAGGTAATTTGTCAGTGGTCACAGCTAGTAATTTTGAGAGCCTTGTTTCATACCTAGATCTCCTTACTCAAATCCTGTAATGTTTGAAATAACCAAATTGCCTATCCAATGCATTCATAAACTACCAAAGCTAAGTCAACAGGTTTCATTAAGCTCTTAATCTTTGACCATCATGATATTGAGAGAGACATAAAGGAATCAGAATTTGGGTTTTACCCCTCAGTGATAAAAAGACTTAGATATTATGCACGACCTTTGAAAAACTACTTATATCATTAAAATATAATTAGCTGTCAGATTATATAATGTAGATACTAAGTGCTATAGACATTCTAAGAAAGATCATGTTTGAAGATAACATGATTAGTTACAGTGCCAAATCTCAGGCAATAGCTACTTTATTTCTTGATTCTTGTTCAGATTCAGAGATGCTAGTACCCTACATAGAAAGAATGCTAACCTAAGAAGATGTCACTGTAATCTGTCAACTGCATTTGAGCATTTGCTACAGGTTGAGTGCTGTCAGATGCTGGCAGGTATACAATGTAACTTCCACTCCCTGTGATACTTCTACTTTGTTAGGAGCCACCAATGGAAGATATGTCCTGATTAGAAAAATGGAGGTAGGATATTTCTGTCTATATAAAGTCCTCAAAACTAGCTTTAAATAAATAAAATGATATTCGTGCTCTTGCCTGCAACAGATGATGCCAACATGGTATTTCTCCAGTCTTCTTCCTCCAGTAACGTCAGACCACGGGAGGCTTCTGAGAGCCTCAAGTTCACATTCACGCAAGCCCAGTCTGGTGTGAACTGTGAGGTGTTAGTACATTGACTATTCATGTCAGTAGATGCTTACACACACACTTTCCCAAGGAAAATGTTCACGGAATAGTTCGTTAATAATAGTTCATTAATAATGTATTCCTCACACTCTAGAACACAACTGAACCATATGGCAGGCAATCTTGCCTTAACTAGAGGAAAGGGAAGACAGTGTGGCAATAGCAGACTCAAGAAAAAAAATAATGGATAACTTTCCAAAAAGACAAAATCTTATTTCCATCTGATTTTCTCTGCTTCTGAAATATATATGAGGATCCCTCTCCAAACCCATGGTTTCCTTCTACTATTAAAGAAGAAAGAAAATCCTTGCTGTGACCTTCTCCTCAATTATCCCTTTGGTAATCTCTTTGTCAGTGGTCACAGCTAGTAATTTTGAGAGCCTTGTTTCATACCTAGATCTCCTTACTCAAATCCTGTAATGTTTGAAATAACCAGGAATTTTGGTGCTAAGACCCAATAGACAGTTTGAGGCAAACCAGGATGGTTGATCACCCTAGTTCATAGTAATACATAATTTTACCCTGCAATCACTGTATGATACAATCGGATTTTTATACTTAACATTTTTTCATAAATATTTTTCCTTATTGATATATACTTTTCATAAATATTATTTTTAGCGGCAACTTAGCACTTCATTGAATCAATATAGAAGTCATCATTCCTCTATAATTGGGGACTTAGGGTATTTCCATATTTTGGGGTGTTTTTTTTTCTTGTAAGTCACTTTTGTTAGTGCAGAAAGTATGAGCAAGATATATATTTCCTCTTCTCATTATTCAAAATGTGGCCTCAAACTTTAAGCCTCGTCAAAGTCTGTCAGAGGCCTAAGCATAAGAGCTAACACTATAAAACTCTTAGAAGAAAACATAGGTTTAAACTTCAAGATCTTGGGTTAGGCAATGGTATTTTCAGTATGACATTAAAGCACAAGCAAACAAAGAAAATAATAAATTGATTATCGTCAAAATTAAAAACTTTTGTGCTTCAAAGGGCACTATAAAAAAAAGTGAAAATACAACACACAGAGGGGAGAAAATATCTGTGAATTACATAGCTGATAAGAGTCTAGTATCCAGAATATATAAAGAAAGCATACAACTCAACAATAATAAGACCTATAAGCCAATTAAAAAATTGGCAAAAAAAATCTGAATATATATTTCTCCAAGGATTATATACAGATGGTCAATAAGCACATGAAAAGATGCTCAACGTCATCAGTCACTAGAGAGATGCAAATTAAAACCACGAGATATCACTTCACACTCATGGGGACCGCTAGAATCAAAAAGAAAATAATGGATGTTGGTTGAGAATCTGGAGAAATTGGAACCCTCACACATTGCTAGTGGTAATGTAAGATGGTAGAGCTACTTCGAAAAATTGTTTTGCAGTTCCTCAAAAAGCTAAACATAAAGTTACTAAAAGACCCAATAGTCCACTACTAGGTATATACCCAAGAAAACTGAAAACATGATCACACAAAAACTTTTATATAAATGTTCATAGGAGCATTATTCATAATAGCCAAAAAGTAGAAGCAACTCTATAACTGATGAATAGAGAAAGTGTGATATATCCACATAATGAAAGATTATTCAGAGATTAAAAGGAATGATGAACTGGTACATGCTATGGATGAACCTTGAAAATATCATGTCAAATATAAGAATCTAGATACACAAAGCAAGACATCATATGATTCCATATACATAAAATGCCCATAATAGGCAAGTGACCGAAACAGAAAGTAGATTAGTGGTTGTCAGCAGCTGGTGGTGGTGGGAGGGAGAATGGAGAGTGACCCCTAATTAATTCAAGTTTCCTTTGGAGGTGATGAAAATATTCTGGAATTATATAGTAGTGATGGTTGCACAATTTTCTAAATATATTTAAAAAAACACTTTAAAAGGGTGGGTTTTGTGGTATGTGAATTACAATCCAATAAAAATAATGTAAAAAGAGATAACGAGTGATATAAGACAGCCAGGAAGGCCTAAATAATAGTAAAACACCCTAGTGTCTAGTACAAACTAATTTCTCAATAATGTTACAGGATAGGAGTGAGCTCCATGAAGCCTAGAGTATTACAAGAAAATCTCATGGAAGGATTTGAGTTGAATCTTAGAGAATAAGTAGAAATTATAGAGCACGAGAAGAAGGAAAGAATATTTGGGGTAGGGGCAGCAATATCTATACAGGATGAAAACAGAAATATTCTCATTGTGTTCAGGGGCAAGAACAGAATAACCTGGATGGTTATTGTGGTTAAATCGGGTGTAATCAGTCTTAAGATAGAAGGGAAAGGCTGAACCACACTGTACAGGGTCTTAAATGCATCTGGACTGGATCGTTGGAGGTGTCTGAGTAGAGAAGTAAGAAATTATAAGTAATAGTTTAGAAAATAAGTGAGACAGCAAGAATAAATAAGAAACTAGACCTGAATTAAAAACTACGAAGAAGGGGGGTATATTTTAGAGGTATGTCGGGGTAGACAGGACTTAACGGATGTGAAGGACTTTAATATATGTAAAGAGTGAAAAAGAGGAAGAAACCAAGGCATCTCTCAGCTTCGAGTTTGGATGATGGACGTGGGGTAGAAAGGGTGTCAGATGGTCGTGATGCTCATGGAGAGAAAGCAGCAGCACGGGAACCGGATCATAAACTCAGATCGGACCGGTTCGATAGACTGAAGATTTCGATTATTGCAGATATTGGGAAATATAAGTTAGGAAATCAGATGGTAGAATAGGATTGAAAGTGGAAGTGCATGAAGTATTCACTTTAAATTGGTAAGAGTTATGGGAATGAATGAGAGCTCCCAGGAGAGAGTGACGCTCTGTGAAGAATGACCACAGTTAGCTATCAGAGGAAGTGAAATTAGTGAAGATGAAATTGAGAATGTCTAAGAAAGTAGGACAGGGACTTAAGAGAGTGGTCTGTCTTAAAATCTAAGGAAGGACCAGTGTCTCATAGGGCAAGGAGGCAGCAGAGCAGCGTTGCTGAGAAATCCTCAAGAATAAGGATTAAGTAGAGGTCACTGCATTCAGCAATTAGGAGTCGCTGGCAGCATCGGGGAAAACAATTTTAGAAACTACTACGGAGAGAAGATAGACTGCAGTTCAATGAAAATGAATGTGACATGAAAACATGTGAGCTGTGAGAGCAGGCTCTGCTTTGGGGATGTTTAGTTATAAAAAAGGAGAGAGAGGATTCAGTGGTTCAGTGAGAAGCAGGGCAAGGAATCACTCAGCATGGTAGGTGGTCTAAAACCTGCAGGCACAGACAGGGACAAGGCTACGTTCATTTAAGAAATTCAAATATTGATGGAGCACCCACCATATGCTCAGTAGTATTCTAAGTGATGAGG